GATTATGTAATGGAGAAGAAGACGAAGAAGAGAGAACGAACAAAAAAAGACAAAAGCGACGGGGACGTGTATGAACAGCGATACCTTGCATAGCAGCGGGTTTGATTTACAGCCGAGGGATTTCATTTGTCGGGCGTTCTGGGCTGGGTTTTTCGTTTGTCAGGGTGGTGGCTTTCTTTTTCGATGATATCATGTCGCATTTACTAGCATGTCGCATTTACTAGCAGTGTATTTGGGAGGGTTTAGGTGCTCATAGACGGGATAATTCACACTTACTACATGCCTCATCCTCTGCCTCATCCTGCTGCCTCATCCTGCTGCCGGTCTCGTGCGTCGAGGACAGTCTTCTGGGCCATCACTCTTCCGTACATACTACGATACCTGCCTGCGTAAAGAGCTTAATAGATAGACCGTTGGGTGATGAACATTTCACGGCGCCACATCACCCACCTATCTAGAAACAATTCGCTGCGGCCGAGGATTCGGGGTAGAGCACGTCCACCACGACGGCATCTTTCCGTCCAACATCGTGATCCACTGAGCGTATGTATTGCCATCCCTTGGATGTCGAAGCGAAACCTCAGTACCTCATGTGATCAACAGTCCAGTGGCAGAGAATCGATGTCGCCGGCGGAAATAGAGGACACAACGAACAGTACATATTACTGACCGCCGCCTGCTTGAATAGCGCTCATGTGGACCTTGACAGGTACTCATTCAGTACATGGTTGTAGCGGGTAGATCTGATAAAAACCCAAGTGCCGTACAGGCATATATGTCCAGGTTAATCCGTCACCAAAGGGCCATGAAGGCGTGGGGATGGGGCCGGCCGACACAGCAACCGGGCCGTCGGTGCCAGCTGGCAGACACAAGAAGTACGGTGCACCATACACGTGAGAACAGCAAGAACCCACACCATCAGGTTGGCATTGAATCGAATGGAATACTCATTTGACTTTCAAACCACTTTGCGTGCTCTGATACCTCGTCATCACATAGAACATGCTTTCTTGGTCGAGCGTAGACTCACAGCAACGTCAGCCGATCCAGCTGAGCCCTTGAAGAGGAGGTTGGTCAGGACGCTTCTCTCTGATTCCACATCATTCCACCACCGTCCATCTGCTTCCAGAGGGTTCGTGATAGCTTCATCAGACACCACAAGACTTCTGGAGCATGTTCTCGAATGATCAGTCATTGTCCGCGGCCTACGCAAACATTCGCTCGGGTTTCTTGTCATCAGCCTGCATGATGTTTCCAGATGCTGCAGGAAAGTTCGCAGTTGCCTGGCGACGAAGAATAAAAGGACCTGCTTCAACCCTCAACAGCACATTTCTCTTTTTCTCATCAGCACACAGAACAACAGTCGCCAGCCTCACAAAGCCTACAAAAGCAACCAAGCAATCAACTCGAAGCGCCTCGCCATTCTTCAGTCTCGCAACCTCAACCTCATCACGCCTGCAAACCACCATCACAAAAGACCACACACACAAGACAGCAAAATGGCCTTCTTCCCCCGCAACTTTTACAACACGGGCTCTGGCTCGGAGACCAGCTTCACCCCCCTCTTCCGCCTTCTCGATGACTTTGACACATACTCGCGCCAGGGTCAGTGTCAGCAGCGCGGCACCATCGCCTTCCAACCCAAGTTTGACGTCCGCGAGGTCGATGACGCCTACGAGCTCCACGGCGAGCTGGCCGGCCTAAACAAGAAGGATGTTTCCATCGAGTTCACGGACCCTCACACCCTCCACATTCGCGGCCGCGTCCAGCGCTCCTACACGGCCGGCACTCCTCCCAGGGGCCTTCTTGAGGATGCCGCCGCGAGCGGTACCGGAACCGAGGGCAGCGACAAGCCTGAGCAGCCCGCCTCCGGACGCTCCTCGCCCAAGTTCCACAGGCCCACGGTCGAGGACGAGACCGACGATGCTGACTCGACTGCCGCACCCACCCCCGCCTCGACCGTCGCCGAGGTCAGCAAGCCCGCTGCCGAGGAGGCCTCGACCCCCAAGGCCCGCGGCCCCCGCGACACCGCCAAGTACTGGGTCACCGAGCGCAGCATCGGCGAGTTCAGCCGTACCTTCAACTTCCCCGGCCAGATCCTCCAGGATGCCGTCACCGCCAGTCTCACTGATGGCATTCTCACCATTCGCGTGCCCAAGGCGCCGAAGCACGAGGCTCGCCGCATCAACATCAACTAAGCGGCTTTCTAGCCGCGAATTTCATTTCATACTTCCTTCCAGTACCAATATCATGAGCAACTTTGAACGCTGGAAGAGAGAGAACTGAATGGATGGAATAGGAAGCATTGCCCGGCGTTGCGGTTACACATGGTCGATTTTTGGGGGTGGAATATTCCCACTTCATCTTCTTTGGTTCATGGAGGCGTCTGGTTTTCTTAGTAGCTTAGCAAGTAATACGAGCCGATCACTCACTGAAACAACTCGTCCTTTCCCCGCCTCTCAAATGTGATTCTCATGAGCTCATCCGCAAGCCGTGAACGTAAACAAGTAACCCCTGAGAGGAGAGGTTCCATTAATCAGCAGGCTGGCGTGGCAAAATGTGGACAGAGACACGTGACTTGGCGTCGTCTGCCTGATCCGAGCCCCACCTCTCAACGCGTCGGGTATCTTCGCTCACGTCAACACCCCGCGCGGCACTTCTTCTGTCCCTCACACCCTTTTACAAGTGCTGTTCCCATCCCAACTGCACTTCGTGAAGGGCTGGTGTACCGAGCCCAGGTCCCAAACCCAGGATGACGCAAGTCGACGACTACAACGAGAATAACAATGGTGAGGGCGAGATGGATGACGGCGGCATGACTGGCCCCGGCGCCCCCACGCCACTGTCAGCTCTGGAGGTGAGAGACGTGTGATACCGCGAAGCTGCCGACAGTTCTAATGAAATCGGAAAACGCAGGGCGTCGCAGGATTGACGAAGCGCGACATCCAACTGATTGTCGACGGAGGCTTCAACACCATTGAATCCGTCGCTTACACCCCTCAACGCACTCTTGAGCAAATCAAGGGCATCTCGGAACAGAAGGCCGCCAAGATTCTTGCCGAAGGTAAGCCGCGTCGTTCTCTCTCGTTTTCCCTGCATGGCGTGCGTGTCTAACGAGACGAATTGGTGAAACAGCCTCCAAGCTCGTGCCCATGGGCTTTACCACAGCGACCGAGATGCACCAACGCCGCAGTGAGCTCATCTCGATCAGTACGGGTTCGAAGCAGCTTGACACGTTGCTTGCCGGGGGCATAGAAACCGGCTCCATCACGGAGCTCTTCGGCGAGTTCCGCACGGGAAAGAGTCAAATCTGCCACACGCTGGCCGTCACATGCCAGCTGCCCTTCGACATGGGAGGCGGTGAAGGCAAATGCCTTTACATCGACACAGAGGGCACCTTCCGCCCTGTGAGGCTGTTGGCCGTCGCGAATCGCTTTGGTCTCTCCGGCGAGGAGGTCCTGGACAATGTCGCCTATGCGCGCGCCTACAACTCTGACCACCAGCTTCAGCTTCTTCAGCAGGCGTCTGCGATGATGTGCGAAACGAGGTTCTCGCTCCTCATCGTGGACAGCGCGACCGCGTTGTATCGAACAGACTTTGTCGGCCGCGGAGAGCTGTCGTCGCGGCAAACGCACCTGGCCAAGTTTTTGCGTACTTTGCAGAGGCTTGCGGATGAGTTTGGTATTGCGGTCGTCATCACGAACCAAGTTGTGGCGCAGGTGGACGGCGGCCCGAGTGCCATGTTCAACCCTGATCCCAAGAAACCTATCGGAGGCAATATCATTGCTCACGCCAGCACAACGAGAATCAGTTTGAAAAAGGGAAGAGGCGAAACTCGTATCGCCAAGATCTACGACAGTCCATGCCTTCCTGAGAGTGATTGCTTGTTCGCCATCAACGAAGACGGCATTGGTGATCCCAGCCCGAAGGATCTCGAGAAGGATAAATGAGGAGGGTCCAATAATGTTCATGAGTTCGCGATGAGGTCTCAACGACCCGGGTGATGGAGAAGGCCGGCGTTTGGGGGCTTGTAGAATTACGTAGCATGGCATGGCATGACGAGACCGGACGGGGCAATGCTTTTCACGGGGCGATGTATCGATAACTTGATTGATGAAACCTGACCAATGATCCCTTCGTCTCCTTGCAAGAGTGAGGCCCCGAACAGATGAATCTTTTCGTCACATTCACGATTATTCCTGCGCCTGGGCTGCGTCACCGATACAGTGCGAATATCACGGTTGATTCGAATCAAACTGTCGTCAAGCTCGTTACCGAACCGGGACTAGTGCGTCGCGCTTTCTCTGCAGGCTCGGTGCTCAACCTCGAACTTTCAACACCAACGCGCAGTGCAGCTGGATCCATTCGTTGCATGCGCCCGCTCCTGCCCACGCAACACCACTGTCCCTCATCTTCGACTAGAGGTCGATGACCGGCGGAGGCAGGATGGACACCAAAAACACCCAGTACCTTTACAAGGAGATTCGCCTGAACCTCGAGCCCTCGTCTAACATCTCCGTTGTCAACATCAAAGTGCCTCCGCCCTCTGGTACCAGCCGAAAGCTTCCAAACACCGACAAGTCGGGCACCGACGACGAAAATGCATTTCGATCGAAGAACCTAGCGAGCGCATCATCCATATTTCACCGCAAATACCACACGACCCCAAGCAGCTTTCTGTGGAGGGTGCTGGAGGATGGGACGGTGCTGAGCATACGGGCAACGGATGTCGCCAAGAATGAGAAGGATGCCGATGCACCATTGATCCTCAACTTCCGCTTCGCAGCACCAATCCAGCCCTCTTGCATTGCGTTTGCCGATCCCAGGGAACATGATGCGCTGTGTATGTTCGTTCTCGACGACGCGAACGTCCTCTATTCCTTCACCCTTCGACCCGACTACTTCAGAAAGCGATCCGCCATCGAGGCTGGGCCTGCCGAGGCCTGCAGAGTCTACGTTCCTTCCGTCTTCAGCTTCAAGCACCCCCATCGAATGATTGCGGCGACCGCCGACCAGGTCGTTGTTGCGCTTCATGACGGAGGCCTCGTAAGACTTGACCGGAACAAGGCCAACAACTGTAAGATTTATTTCCCCCCTCCAGCTTTCAGCTGCCTTGCCTACCCACACTACGCCGCTAATTTTCCGCAGCTGTCGGACACCCGTGGAAGGAAACGATCTACAACTCACAAAGCTGGACGCAAGGCCTGCGCAGCTTGATCCCCTTTCAAGGAAAGTCTCCGATATGGCATGGCAAGATCAACATGGATTTAAGCGCTGCCACGTCGCTGCAAGTCACCGATCTGGGCATTGAGGGCGCCTCGTTTCTCTTCACAGTCTGTCTTGACCACCGAATGCGAATCTGGAATCTATACACCGGCCAGATCCTGTTCACAGGAGATATTCTCAATGCCGAACGGAATCCACAGGAGGTGGGCAAATGGACTGTGGACCCAACGCAGTTTAACCTTCTGCAAATTGTTGGCCACAGTGTTGGCGTCAGGACCTGTGCGACCTACTCTCCGATCGGACAAGGAGAGTTCAAGCTCTGGACTGTAAGAGCACATGATGCCGAGACCATCTATGTCGAGGATAGCTTCCCCGATGTTCATCTCGTGCCTTCCGCGCCATCCCTGTCCGATGTTTGGACTCTCGCAGACTTTAACATGCTTGGAGACTCTGACGGCGGCATCCAACTCTGGGCCTTGTGGAAAAACAACATGACCTATCGGGTCCAGGGGCTGGATCTCGATCAGGATCACGTTGACGAATGCTGGCAAAATAACTGGACCTCGGTCTTCATCGACACCACGAGCGAACCTGCGCCGGCGTCTGGGCCATGTGACCCGACAGACGTGACCGATAAGTGGCTCAACCTGATTCTGTCGCCTGGCAAATTCACTCGCAACACACTCGAGACCGCACTCTCCATCTACGAGCGGGGACTCGGCGCGGCGAAAGAAGGAGGTTCTCGGTCCCAGAGGGGCTTGGCCGAGTCGGTTTGCTCAGTCATAGCCTCGACAGCAGCCCTTGACAGGAAGTCGTCCGGAGGCATGGACTACGAGCAGTTCCGGGCAAGCAGTGAGATTCAGTGGCGGAGATTCCACAGACTTCTACTCGAGCTCGACAAGCAGCGGGGAGAGGCTGTCTCGCTTTCCGTCGACCCTCGCAGCGGCCTTGCTTGGGTTGTTTGCGCCGACAGCCTCTCTGCTATCAGGGAGTGCAGCAGCCTGGAGCGACTGTGCCACAACTTCTCGCAGCCTGACGAGGGCTCCGAAGACGTTGCGAAGCTCATCTCAACCGGTCTCGGCTTCCTCGACGCCTTCCCGGACAGCATGGTGCAGGTCTGCACCGCTGCGCTGCGCCCTGAGGTCTTCGAAGAGACAACCCGAACGGATTACGAACGCCTGCAGCACGTGTGGGACACGACAGGCTTCTGGCGAAGCGTAAGTGAGGATGACTGCTCGCAAGTCATTGATAGCTTTGGTCAGCAGTTTGCCTTGGTCTCAGAAAGTCTGTACACCGAGGTCTTTGAGCTGCTCTCAAGTGGCAACGACACCAGGCACCACAACGTTCAGCACCCTCTCACCGACTTTGGCAGGGGGCTTGTTGTCAAAGCAGTCCAGGAAACTGTCGAATTGCAATGGAGGATCTGCCTGAGTCAGTTGTTGCTCCTCGTCCACATGGAGTTTGACTGGGAACGGGAAGAAGACATGCTTTCGAAGAGGCTCGACGTCGGGTCGGTCTTCCGACAGTACCTCAGTTCTCTTCGGCGGCTAGAACTCATCCGCTGGCTGGCCACGACAGAGGTCACAGTGCCCCTGCAAGCTAAATCGGAGCGCTCAGGATCGTTCTCCGGAGGCTCCCCTACTGTTTCTCGGAAGAAAGAGGAGGACAGCAAGGTGATCACGGCCCTCGAAGGAAACGTCGGCCACCTTCTAGGCTTCCCAAGTGTCGCCGACGAGCCCCTGGCAGGCAGCATCACCGCACTCATTGCCAGTCTATGCGCTGCAGATAGCGATATCGAAGTGTCTCCGAGCCTGATTCAGTGCTCTCTCATCAGAAGAGAGAGGGCAGATCTTGCAGATGGGCTCAGCCCATTCTGTGACCAGACGCCGTTTGCTATATATGTGCAAGGACGTGTTGCACTTGGTCTGAAAGACTACGAATCGGCTGCCTTGAGCTTCCGGCGAGCGACCGTAGGCATGAGTGAGATTATACCCTGCACCAAGAGTCGCTCTGTATTGTTCACTAACCACTCGCTAGGCGTGCGAGACGAATCCCTAGACCGACACAGCAGTGGCCTCCTGGACGATGCCGAGTGGAATTTGCTTCACAAGGGTCCTGCGAAGTACTACTGCCATATCGTGTCTCTGTTTGACAGGGTCAAGGCATACTCGTTTGTGCTAGAATTCGCCGGCTTAGCCTTGCAATTTGCCCGCTCTAGCGAGGACTCTGAGACTGTTCAGCGCGAAATGCTGAACCGACAGTTTGTGGCAGCCACGACGACGTCCCGTTTCGATGTTGCCCACTCTAGCCTCCTCGCCATGGAGGACAAGGCGATGCGACACAATAGCCTGTCGCGGCTTGTCGAAAAAATGTGCACGAGCCACTACAACGAAGAACTCACGTCGCTCCCCTTCCCCGGCCTTCATGACCAGATCGACGAGATTCTGGCCTCAAAATGCAAGGCGACGATGGAGGTCACCGCCGGCGTCCCTTACCATCAGATTCTCTACTCTTGGCGGATCAGCCACAATGACTACCGCGGCGCGGCGTCGGTCCTGATGGACCGCATCCAGAAACTGAAGCATGCAGGCGAGGGCGACAAATACCACGGAGAGGATGTCCTGGATACGCCGGTCACCAAGCAGTACCTGCTGCTCATCAACGCTCTCAGCTGCGTCGACGCCAAGCAGGCGTGGATCTTCTCGGAGGAGCTGCCGCCGCAGAACAGCCGGGACACGAGCGGCTTCCAGGCGAAGCGCAAGGTCGTGACATTGGCAGACTTGCGCAAGCAATACCAGGACGAACTCGACAGGATCGCGGCCATTCAAAACAACCAGTTCGGGTTTGAGGCGGGCGACGAGGTCATGGATATTTTGTAAGGGACGGAACACCCAGCAGAAGGGCGCGGGACACAGAGGGCGCGGGCCTTGTACAAGTAGGCAGAGAGAGGGCAGGTGAACACGTTTCCAGGTGGAGAGATAGATACCTCACGAACTGCATGAAATGGGAACGCGCGCGGTTTGGTTGTAAAAGTATCGTTTTGCCCCCCGTGTGTCCGTGAGACGGGGTGCTAGAGCACAGTCATGATTGCCAACGCCGTGCCCCTATGCTGAGAAAATTATCAATGATAACCATTATGTACATTTGTCCTCCCCCTTCACAAAGCTTGCCCCTGTCCAGCCCCGCTCCTTCGTCTCTGGCCGAAGCGGCCGTAGCCGGTCATGCCGGCGGTCCTGGCATGATCTTGCTGCTGTTGTCCGGAGCCGAAGCTGTGATCTGTGACTGCGCGGGCGCGATAGCGTCGGGCGCCTGGCGGTACAGGATAATCTCGGACTGCTTGAAGTATCGTCGCGCATCTGAGAACAAGTTAGTACGGGAGGAATGCAGACCCATCATATCATGTGGTGCAGGCCTACCCTCATCGATCAACACTAGGCTGAGGTAATATCTTGTGGAGAACTTCTTGTTGACGTCTCGGAAGGTAGGCGTCAGGTCGAAGCCGCCGAGGAACAAACGGATCGGGATGGTCTCTCCTCGGGATGGCGAGCCGTCCATGATCTAGTCGTCCAAGCATGTCAGTAAGGCCTCACATCCCGCCCACCGCGTCTCATTTCTGGCAAGCGCAGGTCTCAGAACCGAACTCACCTCGAAGCGAACCAGCGTCTCGCTCTCGTTGTATTGGTTGGGCGCAGCGCCCGTCGTCTCCCGTCGGATGATGGACAGCTCCATGTGCTTGATCTTCAGCCTGACGAGAAGGAAGTATATCCTCCCAACAATGACGTCTTTGAGATGATACTTGCTCTTTGAGTACTCAAACTCAATGTGCAAGCAGTCTTCGATGCCAACGTCCATCTTGATGGAAGAGTTCATCTCGGGGGGGATGCGGTAGCTGTAGACCCAAATGTCCTTCTCTCGGATGACATCGGCCATGCGGCGCGAGACGGTGACGCGTGTGAAGTAGCGCAGCTTGACGTTGATGCCGTTGTACGACTCGTACTGCTTCTCAACATTCTTGAAGTTGAAGTCGAAGGTCTGCGGGTGCTGCAGCTCGCCAGGGGCGGCGAGCTCCTGGACGAGCGAGAGGAATTCGTAGTGATTGCCGCGGTCGAAGAACATCTCTGTGAAGGGGTGCGACGGGTCCTGTCAGTGTGTGCATCCCCGTATGCCCGCTTGGGAAGCGAGCTGTGCTCTCCAGCTCTCTAGCGCATGACGCGGAGAAGGGGGGTCGCTCACCTATGGTTCCGATGAATTGGACCTTGATGCCCGTGTGTTCCAATCGCTTGCCATCCTTTGGCCTGATCGTGACGGCGCCCTTGACAGACTCCCCATCCATGTACAACGGGGCCTTCTCGCGGCGGTTCTTGTCGAGCTTCACATCGACCATGGAGCGGTCGTCGGCATCCTCGAGCACAATGTCGATGTCGACGGGGGTTGCGAAGAAGTAGGCCATGTTGACGGAGCCCAATTGCAGCGTACCGCGGATTGGCGAGGCTTCGTCGTGGAGATACTGAGGTTGTGATGTTGGAGTGGGTTGGCGTTCGTTGGGGGGTGTGACGGAGCAAGCGGGAGGCTGACGTATCGGATGCCAGGCTGCACTATTGCACTATCACGGTCGCAGGTACCGCCCCATGGTCGTCGGTCGTAAACCTGGCGGGAGCTGCGACCGAGCTGGGACGAGAGCTCTCGGTTTGCGCTAGCGTCTCATTGGCTCTTCTTGCCCATGAACTTCACGTGATCGCAATCATGTGGCGGTGTGGCTAGGGAGGCTTCGAATGACCCCGCCGCCCCGCCCGTGCGTTTATGGTCGCACGGGCCAGCTATGGCGAAAAAAGTTCCTCACGTGCAAGAAGCCCTAGAGCTTTTTTCCCACCCACCGACGAAAGCCAGGACGAGATACCAGTTCCAGTGTCCCGAGTTGAAAGTAGCCAGCCTCACGACAACCTCGAACCGCCGACGACTTTTCGCCCAACAATCCCCCCCCACCACCGTCAAGATGAAGTACATTCACTCTGTCGAGTCCGTCGAGATCCCTGAGGGAGGTATGTGACGACACCAAATACCTCTCCTTCTTTGAAAAGAAGGAAGGAAATTCCGGCACGACCGTCATGGAAAGAACCGACAACCTGTCGATCGAATACTTGGAAGAAGAAGACTTCTCGACTTTTTTCTCGGAAAGGTCGATATGGGAATACGTTCAGACTGTGGATGAGCTCGCAAGGAGCAGAAGTGGCAGGCTGAATGCATGCTGACTTGGATTCTCCAACAGTCAAGGTTCACATCAAGTCTCGCAATGTCACCGTCGAGGGCCCCCGTGGTAAGTAACAATATTTTTCTTTCTCTATGTATCTCCACTCATCACCGTCGACCGAGTCGTCCCTTCTGTTGCCGATGCGATGTTGCGACCGTCGACGATTCGAAGACAGGTTCATGGCGGCCATGGCTAACTCGTCGCCTCCTCCCTCCAGGCAAGCTTGTGAAGGACCTCAGCCACCTGGCTGTCAACTTCTCCCAGCCCAAGAAGGATCTCATCAACATTGAGATCCACCACGGCTCCAGGAAGAACGTCGCCACCCTCCGCACCGTCCGCTCCCTGATCAACAACCTGATCATCGGTGTCACCAAGGGCTTCAAGTACAAGATGCGTTACGTCTACGCCCATTTCCCCATCAACGTCAACCTCGACAAGAACTCCGAGACTGGCCTGTGGGAGGTTGAGATTCGCAACTTCATCGGCGAGAAGATCGTCCGCAAGGTCGTCATGCACGAGGGTGTCGATGTCGAGATCTCCAAGGCCCAGAAGGACGAGCTTGTCCTCCTCGGCAACAGCCTCGAGAACGTCTCCCAGAGCGCCGCCGACATCCAGCAGATCTGCAGGGTGCGCAACAAGGATATCCGAAAGGTGAGCTCCCTCCCGTCCTGCATCTCATGCACTGTCCCTCCATTGTCGAGTCATCAAAACACTAACGCGCAACAGTTCCTTGACGGTCTCTACGTCTCCGAGAAGGGCCACGTTGTCGAGGCCGAGTAAAGGGTCGGCGCAGTGTCTCTCGGGTTTCTTTGCATTCTGGGTCTTGATACAGGAGTGGCAGGGTTTTTTTCTTCGCATGGCACATTTGTAGCAAAGGGGCTACAGGCGTATACCAAAAAGCAAGACACGACCATCCTCTGGGCGAATTCACATCTCAGCGACCCAGATTGCCACACTCCTGTCCAGGATGAATGAAATGCTATGTGAAGCGGCGATTAAAAAAAGTGACGATAATGAATGCTTGTTTTTCTGCTCTGATTGTATGATGAGAAAAATGTGAAGTACTCCGCAGCTAGTCAACGAATGTGACAAGCTGTATTTGGATTTTTCTTTCCGGGGACAAACAACCCTTTAGCGCCAGTGATGAAAGAAAGGAAAAATAATCACACTCGGCAAACTACGCCAGATCACTTCCACTAACGGCAGAGTCAGGCATTACAAAACACTTGATATCGGATAGTCGTTGGGCATTAAAGGGCAAATATCGCCCTCGTCGTCTATTCGCAAATGAACATCCGCAGTCATACAAGAATTGCTATGCAAAAGGGGGAAGGCACTTGAGCTATGCCAAGCCACTTCTCTCTCGCCTCAGACTTGCTTCCTTTCTCATATCGTCCTATCATCTTGCGATGCTTCGTTTCACATATCCATCTCATTCGTGCTCTTGAAACTCTTTCCCTCTCATGCCTCATGCTGATGTCCCCCTGAACGCCGCTTTGCAAAAGAAAATCGAAATACCACACTATGTACTGTCCACCGTCAAGAGGCAGACATTCTCATCAGCCATCGTCGAATGATGGCTTCCGCCCATCTACCGCCGTGAGTAGCGCGATTCAGCGCGCGGTTCAGTCCGCCTCGTGCGGTTCGTCCGGCCGGCAGAGCTGCCACCTAGGTACGACGTCAGGTCTGACTGGTCATCGTCATAACGACGCGACCCAGACGGCGCCGCCGCAGGGGGCATCCGAGAGGACGCCCTCCGCGAGCCGGCGGGCGGCATGGGTGCGCGCGACCGCGAAGACTCACTGTCCGTGTACGAGTAGTACGAGTCCGTGTAGCGCGAGCGCGCCTTGCGCTCGGGCTTCTTATCCTTGCGTAGGTTGAGTAGCGCCAACAGGGTGGCGGCGCCGGCACCAAGGCCGAGCCACTTCGCACCGCTCGAGCGGTCCTTCTCGGGGTCGCGGCGGGCAGAGGCCGAGGCGGGGCGACCTCCAAACCATCCGGTGTGGCGGTCACGGCGGGAGTGTGTAGAGGGCATCCGGCTGCCACCTCGGTAATGCTCCTCGTAAACTTCGGTGCGCTCACGGCGACGGTCGTCCTTCTTCTTCTTGCCGCCGCAGAGCAGGGCCCAGAGGCCACGGGCAATGCAACAGAAGCAGATGAGGATGAGGAGGGCGATACCAGCAAGGGTGCCGATGACGATGCCTGCAATGGCGCCAGCAGAGAGACCGCCGCCGCCAGTGCCACCATCTTCACCATTGTCACCCTCATTAGGGATGGCGGTGCCGGTGCCGACAACGCCGGTCGAGGTAGCGGAGCCTGCCGAGTTGGTGAAGGTTGTGCTTGTCACACGGTAGGGAGCGGAATAGCGGGTCGTGATGGTCTGGCCGTTGCCATCGGTAACTGTGGTAGTGATGATGCCGCCGCCAAATCCAGGTCGCTGCTCGCACTGGCTCTTTTCTTCGCTCGCGCACTGCTGCCACGCCGCGCAGCAAATGCTGCCGCATGACGTCTCACCCTCAACTTGGGGCACGCAGACACCGGAGCCGCCGACGCCCCCTCCGTGTTCAACAGTAGGGGCAGCAGGGAAAGGGGTCGTGACCGTGCTCGTGAAGGTGTTGGTCTCAGTCCACGTGGTTGTGTAAATGCCGTAGTTGCCACCAGCGCCGCCAGAGCAACCTGCAATGTTTGCACTGGTAAAGCACACTTCGCCAGAACCACAGCAATATTGCCCGTCACTGCCGCAGCGCTGGACGCAGTCGCGAGGCATGATGAAGCGGAAGCCAGCATCGTAGTTGTTGTTGTTGTTGTTTTGCAGCGGATAAGGGTGAGCAGCCACTCGTGACGGTGCCGACAAGAAGGCGAGGGTGGCAAGCAGCATGGCGGGTGGTGCCGCCAGAGCGGCCTGTGTGCACCGCATGATGGAGGGTAGGAGCTCAGAAATTGGCGATCAAAACCATGGAATGCGGGTGGTGGGCCAAACTCGCGTGGGTGTGGGCGTCTGCGTGGGCTTTTTTGACAAGTAAGACTGATTGCCGACGGGAAGACTGGAATGTGGATGTTGGTCCTATCCTTCTTTGACTTTGGCGTTTGGCAATGCGACAACCTTACTCTTGTTGGCAGTTGTGGCCGTCGGTCGATGCTGTAAGCGGCCGCAGTACGATGTCAGTGAGGGTTGTGTTGCCAGAAGTTGGGCTTGGCTTTCGGGTATGAGCAGGATCTTGGTGAGAAGAGCGTAAGGTAAAGGAGGAAAAGTCTTGGAGTAAATGGGTTTAAGAGAATTGAGTATAGGTGCAGGCAGAAGGGGTGGTAAATGGGTTGTGTTGATTCCCAGCCTCCTCCTTTGGTGGTTTCGCACGCCAGCCTCTCGCTTTTCTGGTGATGGGTGGCGGACGGAAAGCCGGGGACTCACTCACCACACGTTTTCAGGTACGAGATGTTCTGCCGCAACTAGACAGGGATCTGGGATCTGGAATCTGGAATCTGGGCTCTGGAAGGGATTTCAAAATCAGCGGATGAAGATCCTGTTCCTGGATTTACCGGGGGCACTCAGATTTTTGCAGTTGCGTTTGTTCTTGCCTGGAGAAGAGCAATAGCTTGGGGAGGTCCCTTCCTCTGATGAGTGACGAGTGACGAGTGACAAGCAACAGACAGGCGAGTCGCACGGGTGCGGGGGAGGAGCAACGGGGTGCTGACGCGAAGCGATGCGCTGGCGACCACTTAAGAGCTTGCAGACTTAGCTCTTCCAGGGGGTCCGGTCGTTCACTGGGCGACTATCGCGCCCACCACGCTTCATCTGATCCTTATCACGGCCCAAAGCTCCCAGAACCACTAACCCGGTTCCCATCTATTCCAATTGTTGCTACAGCTCCTCAGGTAGAGAGTCCCAAGGAAAAGAGGTAGATAGGCAGGTAGCATGACTCCCGTCTTGTCCGACACCTAGTCGGCGCCATCCCGAGCACTTCTGCCATTGTGACGGAAACCCCTCACGAACCAAAGGCATCGCATGATGAGAGGGACCAGCTGCACCTCAAGGCTCTTATTGACCAGTCATCATGTCCGTTGGGCACCAGGCCCAGTTTCTGATGGCTGACGTCGATGCAGCTAAGGTTTCTCGGTCCTCGTAAACGCAAGACAGCACGGGTCGGTAGAGTGTTCCGTGGCTGGTGCCCTGCTGCCCTGCTTGCTGCCCTGCAGGAGAAGGTCTCGGCGAATGCCACAGAAGCAAAGTCGGCGGCGTCGATCACCGACCGCCGTTGCCTGCCTTTCGCATGGCTGGCCCACTGACTAAGCCGTTGTGTTGCAAGCTTCTGCCACAAGCTGACTTGAAGCTCGTCCCAGATACATGACAACAGCGTCATCCATGCGACGGGGCGTTGAGCACATGCGACACCCCACAACATCTGGGAATGACGTTCTCTTGTAATCGCAAGTCCCGATTCAACAATGACTTTTATAGCCTCCAGAAAATTTCATGAGGCGGTGCAAAGTTGGCGTCTGCATTCTGAGTGTTGACAATTATGTGGCCACAAATCGCAGATCGTGTGGGCACAACCTTTGTCTGTGTTACCCAAGGAAGCTTTCAGAATACTATTTCAAACTGGCCAGGTTCTCGCGTTAGCACAGGCAGGATTACGCTATCAACCGAGCCGTTTGACTTTGTCTTCCTTGGTATGGCCAGCATCGAACACGGTTCATGCCATCGGTTTGTCGACAATACTCGTGACTGCCCTTCAGTCTATGCATGACGTTTTCTTCAGAAGCGGACTTTGTGGGGTCCAGAGTCCCGGCACGGCCAGAATTGGAATATGGAAAGAGAAAAAAAAAAGAGAGTTCCAAAGCGCTGCCGTGTATTTTGGGAACAAAGCGCGGGAGCGAATGATGACCCCAAAGCAAACAACTCGAGTTGAAGCATACACTGTGAGGTTCGATATGAGCCCCCTTCCAGACTTGCGTGATGAAGCCTTATACCTTCACTCGCTATCATGAAAACGGACTTCAGTTTTCAAGGCTGAGTTGTCTCGGAGCGAATTGTGCCTTCATTGGTGACTTTATGGATCCTTGACACTATCGAGCTTCTTCCAACATTCTTTTGCCATCCTGAGATCGCTCGAAACCACAACTGCTATCAAGACCCAAATGGGCCCGTGCACCAAAAGCCGATGTGGCTGACGAATGACAGCCACAATCCAAGCTTCTGAGGCGCATTCGTCGACCTGCCTTGATTGCCCGCCTTGCTGCTAGTGCTAGCACTGGTGCTGCGTGCTACACTGCAGCTCTAGCCATCGACGTCAACCTCCCCCCATCCAATTTGGGCCTCATCACGACACCTAGCCACCGGCATCTCCAACGCGGCCCGACCTCGAACGTCGATTGACTTAGCTCGGCCCTGCTCAGCTCCTACACCGTGAACCAGGGTCGCACCCTCGACCCTCTACCACCGCCGCCATGTCCCTCGACCCGCCCACCTACCTGGCCTCGCTTCAGAACAACATTCGCCAGCGGCCCATCCCCTGGGATGGCGCTGTTAGGGCCGGCACCATCACCGAGGATCATCTCGCCCGAATTCGCGCTGCCGACAAGGCGAAGAAGCCCGAGGCCCGCAAGGAGGTTGTCGAGGCCGATCTCGATGGCTATCGCTTGCTCTTCGTCGGCGAGCAGGGCAAGCCCAGCGCCATCGAAAAAGCTGGCAAGAACGCCAACGTCATCCACTACGTCCTCGTCCTGCTGAGCGACCTCCTCCAGAGCGTACCCTCTCTCTCCAAGGCTCTCCTCAAGTCCGGCGACCCCTACAAGAGCTTCCTTCCTCTGCTCGCCAACTCAAACAATACGGAGGATCCGATACCCCTGCTGACGGCCACGGCCCTCACCAAACTCATCGCCTCCTCCCGCGACGAGTCTGCCGCCACCCACCGTGCTCTGCCTCTCCTGTTCACCTATCTGTCCGGTCTCTCCAAGAGCTCTGATGCTGGGCTCCAAGACATCGCCGTTCAAGAGTATTCATCGCTCCTCTATTCGCGCAGCTCTAGGCAACAGTTCTGGGACCAGCGCAGCGAAACCGTCCAGCCCCTGATCGACCTTCTGAGGAGTGCGGCCGGTATTGGCAGCAACGGCAGCTCTTCTGCCAGTCTCTGGAGCGGCAACGCTCCCGCTCGCGACGTTGGATTTGCCGGCTCTTTGGGTGGCGGCGTCGGTTTGCAGTTGCTATACCATGTACTTCTCGTCATGTGGCAGCTGAGTTTTGAGGCCGAAGACATTGGCGATGAGCTGAGCGAGTAAGCAACTTTCTTTCATAGGCATGAGGTAACATGACTGACTGGAGAGCAGCGAGTACGATATTGTTCTTCTCTACACGCACCTCCTCCGCCTGTCGCCCAAGGAGAAGACCACGCGCCTCATCGTGTCGACCCTCCATAACCTGCTCGAGTCGAACCAGAAGACGCTCCTTCCGACCGCGGTCCTCGCGCGCCTGCCTGCGCTTCTCACGAATGTCAGCGGTAGACACATGACGGACCCGGACCTGCTTGAGGACCTCGCTAGCCTCAAGGAACTTCTCGAGGAGTACGCCAAGACCAAGACCAACTTTGACGAGTACGTGGCCGAGGTACAGTCGGGCCACCTGCGCTGGTCGCCGCCGCACCGCAGCCAGGTCTTCTGGGCCGAGAACGCGCGTAAGATCCTCGACCACGACAAGGGTGACATCCCGCGGAGGCTCGCCGAGATCATGAAGACGCCGTGGGACAGCGATAAGCAGGTGCTCGCCATTGCGTGCAACGACGTTGGCGCGCTCGTGCGCGAGGTGCCTGAAAGGCGGTACCAGCTTGAGAAGCTTGGGCTCAAGACGCGCGTCATGGAGCTCATGGGCGAGGCAGACGAGAGCGTGCGATGGGAGAGCCTGCGCGCTTTGGGCGGCTGGCTGAAGTACAGCTTTGACGGCTGAGCGGCAGGTATCCTGGGTGCGCACGAGGGCAGACGTTTTATGACGCGCTGGAGGTGGAGGCTGTTGTAGGATTGTGGAGTCGAGCATTCGTTGTCGTAGGCTTAGACAAGTAGCCTATAGAGCACTGTACTGATTTTGTCTTGAAGCTGTACACGTGAATCTGCCTCTGTTGTTCACCACATGGTGCCGGCAGGACTAGACTGTCACTACTGGTATGGGTTGCCTAGCCACTGTTCCGGTTCCTTCTCAGTATTATCACCTTCCTCAAGCCCAGCCCTTCATAAGCCTCGCAGGCTGCCTTTTCCCCAACAAGGGCCGCTACAGCGTGACGCATGGTGTAGCGACCCTAGAGGTCACCCCAAGCAAATACCCATATCACATGCCTCTACCTGTGAGGGCGCGCAGGCCAGAAGGCGCGTAGAGGGATCACCGGTCCGAGATGGGCTGTCGACCAGGGAGGAATCCCTTTTGTCATTTGTTCGTCAGCAGTCTCAATATTGGGAACTGTAGAAACCATTGGAGCTTCTCTGGAAAAACGCTATTTTGAAGTGCATTTTCTTAAAAATCATGCCAACCAACTCTGCCCAGAGCATGAACCCCCAGGTACCCTAATATAATCAGTGCTTCGAATGCTTCTGGATGACGTCAACCCGAGTGAGCTTGACGGTACACAAATTGAAGCAATTTTGAGCTATGGTTGTCGGTACGTAATATGTGACAACAACAATTGAAGCCGATTGACTCGCGTAGCCTGGAGCTGGAGCCGTGGAGGAGCAAGCTGCCAGGCCCCCAGCAAACCAGAGGCCGTGTGTGAGCTCCGAGGTCGCCCTTTCCCGGATCAGTGACTCGACCGACCGCGGCTTCCATCGGACCCGCAGATAAAGGCCCGCCAACCACCTGGATCCTTCCTGTCTCGACCCGACTTCACATGGCAAGTGACGGAGGCTCGACGTTGCCTCTATCTTACTCACAACTCTTCACCTCTCAATTGCCAGACTCCATCGCTTCCTTTTCACACGCCAATTGACACCTCGATTGACCCCTTCGAGCCGTCAAAATGTCTCGTGTCAGGCTGCTCGCTGTAGCCCGTGCGGCCCGCCCGCTGCTCCTCGCCTCAGCTCCCCGCACTGCAGCCCCCATGGCCATGGCCGCTCGCCCGCGCTTCTACACAGGTCCCGCGCCGCCCTCGCCTGAGGCCCGCCAGGAATGGCGCGCCCAGCTGGCCGCCTCGGCCAAGCAGGACAAGACACCCCTATACGACTTTCACGTCGCCCACGGCGGCAAGATGGTCCTCTTTGGCGGCCACCACATGCCCGTACAGTACGCCGACCTGTCCCTCGCCCAGTCTCACCACTTCACCCGCGAGCACGCCAGTCTCTTCGACGTCAGCCACATGGTCCAGCACCGCTTCACTGGTCCCCAGGCTGCCGCCTTCCTCGAGAAGGTGACGCCTTCGGGCGTGCGTGACATGGAGATTGGCACGAGTAAGCTGAGCACCTTCCTGTGGCCCGGGACGGGTGGCATCGTCGACGACACGATGATCACGCGCACCGAGGAGGAGGAGTACCGCGTCGTCTCCAACGCAGGCACGCGCGAAAAGGTCTTTGAGTACCTGACCGAGCACACGGCCGCCCTGCAGAAGCCCGAAGGCAGCGAGTTCTGGTGGGAGGTGCTCCAGGGCCTCGGCCTCGTGGCGCTGCAGGGTCCTCAGAGCGCCGAGGTTCTGCAGAAGGTCATTGACCCGGCTGAGGGCGTCGACCTGTCGGCAGTGTACTTTGGCCAGACGGTGTGGGCTCGCCTGCGCGCGCAGAACGAGAGCGGCGAGTGGATCGTGCTTCCTGGCAAGGCCATGATCAGCCGCGGTGGGTACACGGGGGAGGACGGCTTCGAGGTCAGCTTCGAGTCGCCCGGAAACGAGGCGACGCGCCTCGCTGAGACGCTGCTCTCGACGGCCGGGCCCGAGACGCTGCGTCTTGCTGGCCTCGGCGCACGCGACAGCCTGCGTCTGGAGGCAGGCATGTGCCTGTACGGTCACGACATCGACGACACGACGACGCCGGTGGAGGCGGCGCTCTCGTGGATCATCCCCAAGGAGCGGCGGCGCGCCGACGCGGGCTTCCACGGCGCCGAGGCGATCGCGCCGCAGCTCGTGGTCAAGAGCAAGGGCGGGCAGGGCGTCGACCGGCGCCGCGTGGGCTTCGTCGTGGCCGGTGCGCCAGCACGCGAGGGCGCCGAGATCTTCACCAAGGAGGGCGAGAAGGTGGGTGTCGTGACGAGCGGGTCGCCGAGCCCGACGCTGGGCAAGAACATTGCCATGGGTTACGTGCGTGACGGCCTGCACAAGGCGGGCACCGAGCTCGATGTTGTCGTGCGCGGCAAGAAGAGGGGCCTGACGGTGACCAAGATGCCGTTCGTCGTGGCCAAGTACTTCAAGGGCCCCATGCCTGCACCGGCATGAGGCGTCTGACGGGCATTCCTCTTTTTTTTTTCTTACAACTGGCGGCAGCAAAAGGGTGTACGAGGAGCGAGCTTTCAACAAGGTTTCCCTTGGGTACGGTGTTTTGTTTTGTTCTGTTCTGTTCTGTTTTCGGGTGCGCTGGTGGACAGAGGTATCCAAGGTAGCAAACATGAAGAATTTCAACAGGGGCGCAAGGTGCCAGAGAGTATCGAATATTCATGAACAGGCACACCATGTGTTGTGGGTTGCACTTCAATGACAGCACGACGACGACGACGGGCGAGAGATGTATATGTCGGCGCAATTTTACCATGGGAAGTCATCACGGAAAACAATCTATGACAACCCTCAAACGAACGCTTCATTCATGTGGCAACTCAACCCTCCAACAGCGCGACATGGAGGATGCAGCGCCGTTTAGGTGGAGGGGAACCGTTGCAGGCCCCTTCCGAAGAAGGGGTGGAATGAAGAAAAGAAGGAGGGAAAATCGAGCCAAACGGGCCAGTCGTGCAATTCTTTTATTGTTGATGGTTCTTTGCGTAGGGGGGCCTGGTCACGTAAGCAGCCTGCTGCCCCGGCGCCTTGCCAGGTGTTGGCTGCCGGCCCCCTTGGCACGGTGCACAGTACCCAGGCTCGAGGCAGGCCAGGTAGTTAGGTACCTGTAAGGAAACTATCATGCAACAGAGGGCAAACAAGCAGGCCACACGATGCGTTGCATCGACCATGTTGGTCACCATGCAGATAGGTACACCTTCTGATCATGATCCTTCTGAGCCCTTCATGAATCGTAGCGCAGATATACCGACGTCCAGCAGCAGCTCACCCTCTGCACGTGGGTGGCATGCCAGCCCAGGATTGGTTCGCGCCAAGACAACGTCGACAGACCCCGTGGATCGGTCCAGCGCTCACTCCAGCGGTCTCGTGCGATGTTTGTGCTCATCCTCGTCGCTAGACGTCACGCAGATGCGGCAGCATACCCTGATGGTCATCGACTCGAGTGCCGTCGTTGCTTCAAATGGCGATTCGAAGAGACTGGGCGCGCACGCATTGATTGTGCCCCCGTAGTGCTGGCCCGATTTAAATAGCTGGTGGCTTCCGAACGGCCAAGCCTAACGTACATAGCGGTGACGTGGGTCCTTTTCTTGCCCTTCCTCCTACCTTATTCCTCTCAGGTCAGGCAAGTCCAGACGAGCATTTCTTCCATTCCAGGAGCTGGCACATCATCTATCACCGCCAGCCTCATTCGAAGCCTTTGTCTTCCTACTTATTTCAACCTCATCCCCGCTTGACTTGGGTTTTATC